GGAGACAGAGCAGAGCTGCCCAGATCCAGGGAGGGAAAGTCCTGGGTGCCCCATCTCCCCAAGGCCCCCCTTCCACAGGCACCATGTGTGGCTTATATACTTCTTTTTAAAGGCATATTTCTTTTAAAATAAATTGATCTGGAGGGTGGATTTGACGTTTAGAGAGGCTGACTAAGTTGTTTGTTAGATGATTGAAGAATCACGAGATCCATCCTCATGTGCACACACTAGGTCCATGATTTGTCCGGAGCAGGCCCCCACCCTCTATGAATGGCAGCCACAGAACCCCCGCCCTCTCCCCATGCCCAAGATCACAGATGAGGGATTTTCTTTTTCATTAGCTTAATACTGTCTTTATTAACTGGGAAGCGTTCCTGGAACACGGATCTGCAGAGCATTCAATAAAAAGCACACACGTGAGTTAGCCCTGCCGGCCAGGCCCTGCCGAGTGCCTCTGGGATCCTTGCAGAGCCAAGAAACAGTCCAGGGCTACCACAGGTGCAGCCAGAGGCACAAGGGGGATTTGCAGAAGCATATTATTCAGAATGCTTCTGCGATTTGCAAATAGGAATGGACTAGCCAGCGATGGCCAGGAGGAGCAGGCTGCCTGCAGGAGGCAGAGGGAGCGCTCACCTGGAGCTAGAGGAGGAGAGCGGGCAGGGCGCTTTGGGTGGCGGGTACCTTTTTGGCTCCTTGCTCCTCTTCCACGCCGACACCGATCACGATGTAGATGGCTTTCCTGCTGAACCTCTGCATTATCCTCTCGAAGCAGGTCTCCTTCCCTGTACACACGGAGGGAGGGAGGAAGAGACCTCCGTTCTGTTCCGTGAGGACCCGGGAGTGGTCATCAGCCCACGCCTGAGGCCGTCCTTCACCCAGACAACCAGCGCTGGGACCATCCCCACCCTACGGATGGCAACGCAACCCCATGGAGGACCAGCACTTGCTCAAGCCCGGGCGACATCAGGAAGAAGACTCGGGGTAGCCCGAGGCGTCGGTGCACTTTCTGCAGCACCCCATGCAGCACCCAGATCCCCAGCTGGGGCGGGGTCCAGAGCACCTGCCCCACCAGCGAGGCCCTGGGTGACCCCAGCCGCTCCAAAAACCAAAGCAAAACCAAATCCCCAAACCCACAGATAAACAAACAATATTTTATATTGTTAAATTACCACAATTACATTTTTGAAAATATCATAAAAGTAAGAGGTACCAAGGACACCTGCGTAGAGGAGCCAGGGAAGAAAATGAGAAGGCCCCCAAGGTTTTGTTTGCAAATGTTAGTCTAATAACCGTTTTGGCCTGAATTGCAGTTATTTTTAACTCAAAGGCTCCTTTTAAGTCATGGTCAGACTTAGAAAATCACTACAGGCAAAAAGCAAAGAGCTGCTCTACACTTTGCTTCCAAAGAACTAGAGATCGATTTTTTTTTTCTTCTCCAGAAAAAAAAAGTTAAGAATTTCTGGTCAAAAACACGTCCACTAACTAGCTTTATTTTGTATTCATATACATTTCTAGGTGATATGAGAATTGAAAAAATGCCAGGCAGAGTGGAGCACACCTGTAACCCCAGCGGCTTGGGAGGCTGAGGCACGAGAATCACTAGTTTAAAGCTATCCTCAGCAAAAGCGAGGCGCTAAGCAACTCAGTGAGACCCTGTCTCTAAATAAAATACAAAATAGGGCTGGGGGATGTGGCTCAGTGGTCCAGTGTTCCTGAGCTCAATTCCAGGTTACCCCCACCCCCAAAAAATCAGCTCCCCACACACAAAAAAGAAAATCAACATTCCCTGTCATAAAAAAGAAGATAAGTGGTGCAAATCAGCTGCTCATTCTAGTCATGCAGGAGGAGAGCCCTCAGTTCCATTCAGTGCTATTAATTTCCTGTTATCCAATTCTAGTTGTCCACCCTGGTGAAAGGGCTGTGAGGGTCATGGACAGGTCAGTAAACCTCCTGGTGACCTTTTCTTGGCTGCCCTGTTCCCAGGATGGGAATTCAGCCCCTGCCACCCCCGGCCAGCACCTGCCACCCTCCGCCAGCCCCCCTCTGCCCCTCCTTCCCTGAAGGCTAGCTTCACCCTACCTGTCTTGGTGGCACTGTAGATGAGCCTAGTCAGTACAGCAGGACTTTGGCCAGGGAGGGATCAGTTGGGTGGTGGTGACCAGCACGTTGACACAGTTGGGCCTGAGGAAGGAAACTGGGGATTAGAACTCAAAGGTACCCAGGCCAGGCCTCCCCACCCTGCAGCAGGAGCCTGGAGTTGGAGATGACTCTCTGGCCATAGTCAGGTGTGGGTGAAGCCCAGGGATTCCCCAGCTCTTCCTGTCTTCAGGCCTCCAGATGGTTGATGTTAACATGCAACATGGGTGTAGTACTTTGCTTATTTTTAAAAACGTTTTTAGTTGCAGATGGACACAATACCTTTATGTATTTACTTTTATGTGGTGCTGAGGATGGAACCCAGGGCCTCACACATGCTAGGCAAGTGCTCTACCACTGAGCCACAACCTTGCTTATTTAATAGCAAATGTTTATTGCTAGATCAATGTGTTTGTATAATTAGCTGCAAGTGTCTAGGTGATGTAATTGGGTCACAGGGACTGAATGTAGGACCATAGGGAGGGTGGGGGCAGGGGCAAACTGGAGA